GGACGTTTATCTTCTATTCTTACAATTTTTAACCAGGTAAGCACTATTTATTAATTTAATTAATTCACAACGATAAATATGGTGTCCCGTGCTAATAAATATTTCTTTTTTCAGCTCCACTCGCTTGGACAAACAATTGGAGAGGAAATTACACGTGTGAGAGATAAATTCATCCTTTTTTTAACCAGGTGAGAACTATTTATCAATTTAATTAATTTACAACAATAATTATGGTGTCCCGTGCTAATAAATATTTATTGTTTTCAGCCCGACTCGCTTGAACAAAGAGTTTGAGAGGAAATTACACGTGTGAGAGTTGGAGAGGAAATTACACGTGTGAGAGATAAATTCATCATTTTTTAACCAGGTGAGGATTATTTATCAATTTAATTAATTCACAATTATAAATATGGTCTCGTGTGCTAATAATTATTTTTGTCTTCAGTCACACTTGCCTGGAAGACGTATTTGAGAGAAGATTAGACGTGTAATTTATATATTCATCATTTTTGATCCAGGTAAGGATTATTTATCAATTTAATTAATCCAACTACATTATGTAAGGTGTTGTGTGCTAATAATTGTTTTTTTTACAGCCAAATCATTTTTATTTCAACCCCAGCTTTATTAGGAATGGAAACTTTTGATGATTCGTTTATCTCAGGTGATTTGTTAACCAGTTATTGCCTCCAAAATATGTTATGTATCCATGTTATGTATTTTACACAGAAATTACGGTGGAGCCAAACAAGGAGAGTGTGAAGCGAAGATCCTATGAATATGATCCGGATTATGTTTACTCATCCCCAAAGAAAAGGTTACCTGAGAGTATCAGCTACATGAGGATAAGAGAAATTGTACAATTATGGATCAAGCACCCCAAATGGAAATGGAGTACACTTAAACGTAATGGCGCCCCTGAAATTCCGAACAAAGCTACGGCGTACAAATGGCGACGTCAGGTTCAACAAGGTGGAAACAAAAGCCAGAAACTTGAAGAAATTAACAATCATGTATCGCAACAACTCCAAGAAGCAAGAAGTACATTCAAAATTATAAAAGCATCTCATATTAGAAACTGGGCAGTAGAAAAATTTACTACGTTGGGTCGCTCAACTTTGAACTTTAAATGTGGAAGAGGGTGGATAGACAGGTTCAAAAAATCCCATAAAGTTTCAAGCAGAAAAATTAATAGGCTAGTGAGCAAGCGTGAAGTTAGGTCACAAAAAACAATTCATGAGGCAGCTAAAAAATTTCGAGAAGAAATTAAATTACTTTCTTCCAACTATGACCCTAGTCATATCTTCAACACCGACCAGTGTGGATTTTCTTACGAAATAACGCCTAGTAGGACCCTAACTACGAAGGGAGAAAAGATCGTCTTTGGATATGCCCAATCCCCCACCAACCTTTCGACCCATTCATATACAGTACAGTATATCATTAGCATGTCAGGAGAAATTTTAGGAAACGTCTTTGTCTGCCTTCAAGAACCTTGTGGGAAGCTTGGTCCAAGAGTTAAACTTGACGTTGAGTCATATCTACCATCAAACGTGACCTTGACTTGTAGTTCTTCTGGGAAACTATCCACATCGCTCAATGAATATTTCCTAGTAAAACAAGTTGTTCCTAAAGTATCCCAGCCTTTTGTATGGATAGTTGATAGTTGGGCGGGTCATACAAATTTAAGTTCATACAATAAGCTTTTCGGCAAGGAAAATGATATGCCAGAAATTTGTTTAAAAATAATTCCCGAAAAATGTACCTCTCTAGTACAGCCATTGGATACATTCTTCCACCGCCAGCTGAAATATTTAGCTAAAGAGATTTTGGCGTCGCTAGAAGTTTTGTTGAATATTGCAGGCGTTCATCAAGAGGATAATTGGAACACGCGGCATGGCGTAATTAAACTACAGTCATTGTTACATTTCTTCCTTTCTGCACCTATCTTTAAAGAGATGATAAAATATTCATGGTATTCTAGTGGTCTGACAGGTATTAAAAATAAGTTTTTAAATGTTAAAGATGTATGTTTCACTTTTATTGATCTTGATAACCTTTCATGTGAAATGTTAGATTGTCACGAAGTAAGATTTATTAAATGTTCTCATTGTAGAAAAAATATTTGTATTAATTGTTTATGGACTGAAAATCATTACAATTTTTGTGAAAAAAACCCCTTCAAATAATATCGTTTGTAGAACATTTTGAACATTCATAATGAAATTTATAACAAAATAAAATTGTAATAAATGATTAAATTATAAAAATAGTGTTGCACATAACCGCTGCTATGCTGTAGATACCAAACAATTATTGGCAGAAACCTTTTATTCAAAACGAAGGAATTAACTAAATTTTTAAATGTTGCTCAAGTAGTCAAAACGGATCACCATATCTCGCACACGTGCAATTTGCTGTCAAAGCCGTCATCAAATTAAGGTCGGCTGTAAAAAAACAATTATTAGCACACAACACCTTACATAATGTAGTTGGATTAATTAAATTGATAAATAATCTTTACCTGGATAAAAACTGATGAATATATAAATTACACGTCTAATTTTCTCTCAAATACGTCTGCCAGGCAAGTGTGACTGAAGACAAAAAATAATTATTAGCACACGAGACCATATTTATAATTGTGAATTAATTAAATTGATAAATAATCCTCACCTGGTTAAAAAATGATGAATTTATCTCTCACACGTGTAATTTCCTCTCCAACTCTCACACGTGTAATTTCCTCTCAAACTCTTTGTTCAAGCGAGTCGGGCTGAAAACAATAAATATTTATTAGCACGGGACACCATAATTATTGTTGTAAATTAATTAAATTGATAAATAGTTCTCACCTGGTTAAAAAAAGGATGAATTTATCTCTCACACGTGTAATTTCCTCTCCAATTGTTTGTCCAAGCGAGTGGAGCTGAAAAAAGAAATATTTATTAGCACGGGACACCATATTTATCGTTGTGAATTAATTAAATTAATAAATAGTGCTTACCTGGTTAAAAATTGTAAGAATAGAAGATAAACGTCCATTAGCACAAATCCGTGTCCACAGTGAGGCTGGATGTGAGGGAGTGAAACAAGCTGTGTATCACTCCGCCGTTTTCACCAGCCAACCTTTCAGCGACGGATCACCATTTTCGTCTCCGCCGTTGCGAAAAAGGCCACTTTATGAAATTGAATATCGTGGACATTTTGCATCATTGCGCTTAACGAACACTTTTCCATGTAATTCCCGATAAGGGCTATCACGTGGTGTAGGTTTTATGCAAATTGGCTGATCACGAATTTCGTGCACCCCTCGTGAGTATATATGCGACTCTACCAGATTTTTAACAGTGTACTGTACATAAATAAATGTCCGGCATTAGGTGGACCTAAGATCAAATTTATGGCAAATATGGCATGCCATAAATGTCATGCCTGGACATGTACAGCTCTCCTGAGCAAGACAATCTGCACAATTATATAACAATGTCAATGTCAAGTCTAGATAATTAATTAATTCCGCAAATTAGATAATGCATAATAATGCGTGTAAATCCTAAGTTAATTGCACTCGAATGAAATGGATGATTCTTGCCGTGATTTTTTGCATGATTTTATCGGATCTCGTACACGTGACTTTTTTTGCATCGATGCAAACCCAGTTTTTAAAAGTGCAGAATATGGATAATTTTTGAATTGGATTTAGATGCTTGATCACCACCAAAAAAGATGATGCATTTCTTCACTATTTTAAATTTTGTTGTAAATAATTTTAACATTGTTTCACATAAAATATTTCAAAATTTCAGACTTCTACACACATCAGGTTTGATAAACATCAAATTTTTCGCGTGAAAATTGGTCCATAAAATTTCTGAAATTAAATCTTTGTTCATTACATGGCATATTTCTTAATTGAAAAATTCTCGATTAGTAAATGTACCTTCATTTAATAGATGAGCGATGTTTTCATTGTTTATTTTTTTATAATAATGTGAAACAGTGTAAAACCAATTTCGTAAAAATTAAACCCCAACATTTTTATTCTGAAAAGAGTAAAACTCTTTAAACCGACACGGCTAAAAAGTTTATTACCATCCACCCAATTACTTAATTACCAAGAAGGTAGTAAAATTTATTTCACTTTGTACATATTTTCAACACAAAATCTCGTATTGTAGATTCATGTACCCCAATTTTTAAATATGTATTTAATATTTATTTACATCATAAATAGTTTTCTACAAGAGGTCAGGTACAAATGCTTATCTTACAACGATTTACTACAAAAGCACATAAATAGTTATATAATTTTTTTGAAGGTGAAATAAAATCGCTTGAATGTCGGAAATGGGGGTCGTTTTTGATTTCGTTATTAAGTTAATTGACCCCTTAAAACAAACATAATTAAGTTAGAACGGCATTTGTTTCTCCCCAGTTTACATAGAATTGCATGTTATGTAAAATGTGCCGTGCTTTACGGCATCTTAAATTCGCTCGTCTTAATTAACGAGTGAGAATATGGATCAAAATTATATGCATAATATAATTTTCGTCTACATGCGATATGCCGGCCGACATGCGAGCAGAGTGAGGTCTGGCTTTGTTTTGCAAGTAAAGAATTGATTTGTTTAAATCTGTAAGGTTTTTTTTCGAGCAAAGTGCTCATTTTGAAGTGCATATCAAATAATATAGTTTTTCTTTGTGTGAATAGGCATCCTTGTGTGGCGTGCAAAAAAGATGTGACCATTTGTTGGGGGTTTTTTAGTACATTTTAAATCATTTCTCTCATTTGGGAATTTATTTTAAATTTCTGAACGACAAATTTGTAGAGCAGGGAGTTGCAAATTTTACAAAATATACACTCCAGATTTTGCTACTTTTTGAAGGAGGAGATCTCAAGTTTAAGAAGGCTTCATAAGAATTGGAACTCATCGAAACTGGCTCAAAAAACTCGACGCCATTCCATTAATCAACTTATTGACTGCAAATTTGTCGTCCAGAATTTTAAAATATATTCCCAGAGGAGAGAAATAATTAAAATGTGCTGATTTTTACGAATTGGGGGAGAATTCCTACGTTATAGCTCAAAATTTCTCAAAATTTGATCCCATTCTTTGTGCAGGGTCCATTGTCGTGGCAGGACTGACTTGTTTAAGTAAAATGTTAAGTGTGTGCATAGGTGGACCTCTAAAAAAATAAGTTGGATGTTGTTGACATTGATACTTCAGCCTTAAAATGGTGACTAGATTGAGTGTGTGCATGTGGACTTTTAAGTGATTGGGTCAATTGGACTGGACGAATGTGGAGTGAAATTTTGCATGGAAATGCATGGATGGATCTCTGTAAGTTGGCGTCCATTCGTCTCCAACGACAGACTTGGACTTGGGAGATGGAAAAGCTGAAATTCTGAATTTGAGCGATTAATGGATTTTTTAAGTTAAAAATTTCTATGCAAATGAATTGTTTAACTTAAAATAGTGAAGTGCGAACGAACTGTTTAAAAAAATAAAGTTTAAAAATTACACAATTGTTTGATAGTTTAGTACTTTATTTTTTTAAACGGGTGTAATCATAATTTTCGAAATTTTGTGAACTGTGAGAATATTTTCTGAAATGTGAAGAAATGTCTTGGCTTAATCTTGTTGAGTTAAAAGTTTCTATAAAATGAAGTTTTTAACGTGAAATCGTGAAGTGATTGCATTTGTGAGAACTGCTTTAAAATTTTTAAAGTTCAAGATTATATATTTTTTGGCAGTTTGACGAGTTTAAAATTCTTAAAAACGCGAAATTTATGAAAGTTTGTAAACTGCAGTATTTTCCAAGAAATGCCAAGAAATGCCTTAATTTAATGGCAAATGCAATAAAAGTTATGAAACTAATGTGAATACCTAATTCACATATCTTTAGGAAATTGTGATGCTATGTTTAATCAAGTGTGAAAATTTTTGTGCAAATTACAAGTTTTCGCAAAAATAAAAAATGTGCCAAATTCTTGGAAATTCTCGCATCCTTTAATAATTTCCTGATTGAGATAAGCACGATGACGCCACGAATATCATCTTTGCGCCTGGGAACGCAAGCCGTATTTCGGCAAGGAAGGGTGGCGCCACGCCTGATCCCGGTAGATTTTGCGGTCGGACTTCACCTCTCCTGGCCTCTCTTATCCGCCTTGATAAGCATACTTATCTTGATGTTAAACTCGTGGGAGTGGGCTTTTCAGAAGACAGATTTTCTTCAGACAATCTCGCCCAGATTTTTCGATCCGTACTTGATCGAAGAGTTTGATTTCGTTATTGGTAATTATACAAGAATTAGTGATATCCATGTATTTATTGTGATCAGTTTGTCCGTCCGTAAGCACGATAAGTTCAGTATTAAAGTAATACCAAGCGGTATTCATAAGACTCTATCCAAGTAAGTGTTGTTGATAAGTAATAGCGTGTGGAATAATTAGTAGTAAAGTTTTACCATATCGGTAGCTAGTTTTTTTTAACCGAACCGGTATATTCACTACCAAGCGGTAGTAACTTGAATGCCTGGAAATCAATACGTGCCTGTCTATATAGACAGGCCTGTCTATATATCAAATTTATAACAGTGTAATTGTATGAGGGAGTTCGTTTGGAGATCAAAATGTCACGTCGTTAGGTCATAGGTCATTCATGATACTGATCTGTAGGGACCTTGCTTCCGTGACTCTTTGATTTAGTTAATTCTTGCAGTGCAAAAAACATGTTTGCCAAAATATGTTTATATTTGTATATGACAGCAAATTTACATAGTTTGCAGCGTTACAAAAATTTGAGTGAATTTCGTCAATGACATGAATACTTCTTAAACTTTGCAAAATTTTTCGAGACTTTTTAAACCTAAATTTGCTTTATTTTAGTCGGCGGTGGATCTGCGGGGACCATCGTTGCCAATAGGTTAAGTAAATACCCCGGAAATTCGGTTCTTCTCCTTGAAGCGGGTGGAAAACCGAATCCCTTCATGTTATGGCCAGCCATGGCGTACGTTGGACAACTTAAAGTTCCCGGGGTGGATTGGATGTATGAAACAGTGCCGCAAAAGAATACTTCGCTCGGGCTGACGGGAAAGGTAGATAAATAAATTTTGTTTTTACGGATTTTCTACATTTCTTTCGCTGCAAATGAAGAACCGCAAGAAATGCGAGGTGCTAGAAAGTGCGAAAATGTACGAAAAATGTGTCCCATCTAACAGCACGTTGTATGAACGTGGGTTCGATTTGTGGCGCAAGCGTGCAAACGCGTTTGCCAGAAAAGGGGGGACGAAAACCGGAAAAAAGTTACGGCGACACCCTGCGAAAATATTTAGAAGTTTGTGCGAATTTTCGAGCAATTTTAGGAACTTTTAGAGGATTTTTCGGAAACTTATACCATTTTTTGGGGGCAGGGGAAATTTTCTGGGATTTTCATCCCTCCGTTGTAAAAAAAAAACAAATCGAATCCACGGTATGAACTTATAGCGGGGGGCGTCATTTCTTAAAAATAGCTGTAAAAATCACTTTCTCACCGTTATTTCTTGCACTCAAAACTGTAAATTTCTTTAAAAACAGCCTAAATTTTCAGAAAGTTCGCATCCCACGAGGAAAAGGTCTGGGAGGATCTTCAAATCTAAACTTGATGTACTACCAACGCGGCAACAAACGAGACTACGACCGTTGGGCTGACGTCACGGGAGACGAAGAATGGAATTTTGAAAATGTCATGCCATTCTTTAAATCGTCGTCGAATTATCATGGGCACAATCCGAACCGTTAGATACGCTCAACTGCTTTGATAACATCTTAAAATTCCCGCTCATCAAAATTTCAAAATTTGCATTTCAGACATTTTAAAGCTCCCGCTTATCTAAATTTGTATTTCAGACATTTTAAAGCTCCCGCTTATCTAAATTTGTATTTCAGACATTTTGAAATTCCCGCTCATCTAAATTTGTGTTTCAGACATTTAATATTCCCGCTCATCGAAATTTGTATTTCAGAAATTTTAAAATTCCCGCTAATCCAAATTCTAATTTCAGCCATATTTCACCGCACGGTATCCCCTACCGCGCCTGATGAAGGGCTTTTCGTCGGACAAACGATTCCCTACGGGATTCGGGAATGGTTATCAGCCGCAGCCGAGAAAGGATACCATGTCGAAGATCCGAACGCCCTCCAGCGGGAAAGTTCGTATTTTAAATAATATTTAAAAAATATAGTACATCAGTTTTGATAGGTTTCGGACGGATGGACGTTACCATCAAGGACGGCCAAAGGTTCGGAACTTACGCGGCATTTCTACAAGGAAAAGTCGAAGCGAGACGAAACTTATGGATTTATTTGTACTCTCGCGCCATCAAAGTGCACCTCGATAAGGACCGGGTCGCTTATGGAGTGACTTATCGACGCCACGGAAAAACTAGATTTGTTCGAGCCCGGAAGGAAATTATTTTAAGTGCGGGAGCCGTAGATACACCGAGACTCTTGCTCTTATCGGGGATAGGACCGAAGCGGGAGTTAAATGAGTTGGGGGTATGTAAGATACATAATATGGGTTTCGTTTTGGACGTCCGAAAGTGTTCAAAACTGTCCAAAATAATTTTGGACGTCAAAAATGTCAAAAATGACAAGAATAATTTTGTCCGAATAGTTCAAAAAATTGGAAAATGGGGCAAATGTTACAAGTTCTGTATTACCCACCTTTTTGCAAATCCAATCTTAATATCCCAATAATTTTGAGCATTTCGATTGGTCCTTAATATCTGTACAGAGGGGTGGGACAGAAGAAGGAGCCACTTTGCCTAAATTTATTCCGGCCTTATTATTCGTTTGTGAAGTTTGGTAATTGGTTCAGTGTGAAGCCCTTTAGTTTATCTAACGAGCCTCAGTCGCTTTTTCCAACCAGTCATGACCTTTGACACAATTTTCAGAGTGATTCTGCACCACTCGTCCTGAACACTTTTCCAACGTGCATCAAAACGCACGCGTTTTCCTTTCAAGAAGGCTCTGTTTTAAGTACTCGAATCCAAAAAAAACATTGGATTGATATCAGAGGAACTAACGAGAGTTTCTATAGTAGGAATAATTGTTATACCCAAACTTTTTTTAAAATCCTTCGTGTAGGCTGATATTTTGTGAGAAATAAGTTGGGATGAGAGCATGATCTCGGGATTTCCTACGAGTCACTTGCTGTAGGTCATTGTGAATGACTCTAGAAATGTTCTCCTACTAACGTTTAACATTTTCGCCATGCAACTTTTAGTTGGTGGATTTACCGTTTTGGCGAAAAATTGATTTTCCGGATAAACTTTTTGGTTCAAGCGGATCTTGGGTATCCTTTCCGTGGGGGTGGAGCTCTAACCGCTTTTTCCCTCCGCTTGATTCCAACGTTTTTAAGTACATTAGAAACGTACTTTCGATCGACGATAAATCCATTTGCAGCAAATTTTCTAACAATGGCTCTCTGGCTCAGTATGTCTTTGGAAAACACTTTTATGCGTGCCTCGCACTCTGGGGGTGCTGCAGGGGCATTTTTAACCGTAGGGAAAATCTGAATAGTGCTAAATTTTCGTTAACTATCTGGGTATGACATATGCAAATTTTGAAAATGCCGCGACTGTGCATCACACGCCACCCCTAAAATTCAAGTGGCTCCTTCTTCTGTCCCACCCCTGTACAGCGAAATTTGAAAAAAATTGTTAAAACAATTTTTTTACGAGAAATTAAGAAATTTTCTTAACAATGCCGTATTTTTACAGAGAAAATGTTCAAAATTTATGACATTACATATGCGTCAATTGATTTTCAAAAGATTCAATAATGAATAACTTGCCACATTTTTCCTCCTCATTTTCTGTTTAGGAAATTTTTTGGACGTCCAAAATTCGGTGCCAAAAATTACATAATTCGGTGTTAAAACCGGTTTTGTAGGGGTATTTTTGACACTAATTAAAACCACAGCGAAACCCTGGATAATATGCAAATTATTAAAAAAATAATGGGTATCACGTTATATGCAAATTTTGTAGATAAGCTGTCGCGTAAATCTTCCCGTCGGGTACAACCTTCAAGACCACGCGCTCACAATTGTGGGTCCTTTTACCGTTGATGACAACAAAGCGGCGTCCTTCTTGCGAGAATCGAACGCTATCTCGTTATCCGATTATTTCGGGAGAAATATGGGTAAAAATTTTAAAAATTAGTTTAAGAAGATCTGAATTTTTTCGCAATTTTGGAAATTTTTGATTTTGTCAGGATTTATTTCTACGCCGGATTCATCAAGCGGTGTGGGTTATGTGTGCTCATCTTTGGCGGAGAAGGACTGGCCGGATATTCAGTACACACTGATCGGAGCGTCTACAACGATTCCGATAGTGTCGATGGCGCATAATTTTAAACCGGGTAGGTTTTTAGGAAGGGAAATTAAGAATTCGAAAGTAGCGGGAAATTAGCGGGACAGGAAATTAGTTTTTAAATAATAATTAACATAGGATTCGATGACTGTTCGGCAAAATCAGCAAATTTTGAATTATTTCTCGAGTCTGGGTACTTATTTCGAAATTCTGGTGGACAAAGTTGTTTAACAATATACACTCTAGATTTTGACAGTTTTTAAAGGGGAAGATCTCGGGTTTAAGAAACTTTCAGAAAAATTGGAACTCTTCGAAGCTGGCTTAAAAACCTTACCGTCATTCCATTAATTAAAACTCATTGACTACAGTCAACAGTCGTCAAAAATTTTAAAATAAATTCCCAGAGACGAGAAATTATTAGAAATGTGTTGATTTTGTAGAGCTTGGTGATTAGTTATGCTAATTAAGAACTTAATATAAGATAAGATCCCCTGCTTCAAAAACTGTCGAAATGTGGAGTACAATTGCATATTTTTTAAAAATTTGGCAACGGTGTGCTATGCAAATTAATCGCCCAAAAATAAATTCCCAGATGCGATAAGTGATTAAAAATTTGTTAATTTTGACGATTTTGATCGAATCCTATCTTAAATATGCGCAGGTCTCTGGGAAGCCTACTCCAAGCCATACCTCACTCGTGATAGTTTCGCCGTAGCCATCGTAGCGCCTGGTTTGCCCCGATCCCGCGGTCAAATTCGGTTAGCGTCCTCTTCCCCCGATGACAAACCGATCATCGACCCCCACTATTTTACTCATCCCGACGACATGCGCATTATGACGGATGGGATGCGAATTCTAATTGATCTCATCGAAACGACGCAAGCTTATCGAAAAATTGGGGCCAGTTTTGCCACCACGCCGCTGCCAGGATGTGAACATTTCTCGGATTTGAGGTCAAACGAATATTACGAGTGTTACTTGAGACAGTTGACCTTCACGGTGCACCACCCGTCCTGCACGGTACCCATGGGGAAGGATTGGCGAGATCAGAGGACAGTGCTGGACTCGAAATTGAGGTGATTTTTTTGAAAATAGCGGGCCTAGTGTTCAGCCAATATTAATAGTCAAAAAATATAAAAGGTTTCCTGGCAGATTTTCGCTTACGCAAAAAAATTGACAAAAAAAAATAATTTTCTAAATTCCAGTATTTCGTTTCTTGCTTGTTTTGGTACATTTCGTACACTATAAAGAAAGCAATTTTACTTTTGAAATTGCATAAAATTCCTCAAATATTTTCCATTTTTCAAATATCTGACTGCATAAAAAAGCTGACATAGTTTCCTGAATTTGTGAAAACCATCTAAATATAAATATTTCTTTATTCTGTATTATTAAAAAATTTCTTGTAAATTTTGCCAACAAATTTTTCAGAAACTTTTGTGTCCCTTATTTTCTTTAGAGTTTTCAAAACCCGACACCTCCGCGTAATCGATGCCTCTGTGATGCCATACATTCCCAACGCCAATCTGAACGCGCCTACGATAATGATTGGCGAAAAGGCGGCCCATTTCATCCGGGACTATTGGGCCCAGCAATTTCTCGTTTGTGATATGCGAGAGTTTCTAAGTTATCGGGAAAATCGGCAGTGTTTTTATTGCAGGCTGGTTTAATCAATAAATTAGCGAATAATTAATGCAATGTGATACTAAAATTAATTAGGTGATTACCTAAACTTAGCCAAAATTTAGTCTAGAATATGTAATATGTTCGCATGCAGATTTTTGCACTTGGGGGTTGACTCTGAATTAATATGATGTTTACTATATATTACCAATATTTTAGAATAAAGTGGATAAACAATTTGAAGAAAATACCCCGAAAACACCAAAAATTGGACAAAAAGAATTTAAAATATCTGTGAACTGTTATTATTATAATAATATTGAATAATTACAGTTCCAAGTTCACAGGTTTTATCCACATGTGAACAAATAAACTATGTTTATTTTGGCGAGGTGGACGATTTTCGATATAAATAAACCGTTACAACGCATGTAACCAAGGGGTGAAAGGAGTGTCATACGTCAATGTGAATATCAAATTGTTCGAAAATTTGTTAAGATTGACACTTCTGACGTGTTTTCGACTTTTGTGTCTTATTTGTGTCAACAGTTGATAACCCTTATGTGACCTTTATATGACCTCTGAGGTCAAAATGGAGGTCACCATTGAATTTGACATTGAAAAATAGTTAAAAATGATGTGTCACATGCCAAAACTGACAAGTGACACTTTTTCGTCACTTTTCGTCACTGTGACGATGTCATCGTCACAGGTGACGTCCAAACACAAAATGACATGAATTTTCGAATTCCTCATTGAAAATTAGTTAAAAATGATGTGTCACATGTCAAAACTGACACGTGACACTTTTTCGTCACTTTTCGTCACTGTGACGACGTCATCGTCACAGGTGACGTCCAATCGCAAAATGACCTGAATTTTCGAATTCCTCGTTGAAAATTAGTTAAAAATGATGTGTCACATGTCAAAACTGACAAGTGACACTTGTTCGTCACTTTTCGTCACCGTGACGATGTCATCGTCACAGGTGACGATGTCACAGTGTCCATCTTCGAACTCGTCCTGTCCATTGACGTTAGGAGTTTACGTTCAAAATTTCAAGTGTCTATGTCTTTTCGTTCAAAAGTTATCGGAGCTACGGACGGACGGACGGACGGACGGACAGACGGATATAACGATCTTATAAAGGGCTTTCACCCCTTAATAAACAAATTATACACATCTTCAGGTGTATAAACATACCCAGCATGAAATAGATTTTCTTCAGACAATGTTAGGTACATAGCACTTGAAATTTCTCTTAAACTAGCAGCATATGGGGACGTCCATAAATTACGTAGCGGAAAAATCACGATTTTTTTAGACCCCTTTAGCGTATGTAATAAAGGCACTTGGAGCCTTAGACCCCTCACCTCACACCTATCGCGCTGCGTAATTTATTTCTACCCCTATTGTATAGATATCTTATCTTAAACAGGATATATAGATCGGAAGCAACAGCATCTTACTTTATTCCTTTAAGGTTCCCATGGATGACGCGTTGGCGCGTAATCTCACTCTGCCCCTATCCAATGTCTTCAAATGCAACTTTTAAAATCGAATCAACTTTTCCATGAGTTTTGAGATAAATGCAACTTTTGATATTTTAATCTAAATCTAATTTTTGGTAATACAAACAAGTCGATTTGAAAAAAATTAAAAAAAATGCATTTGCCAATTATTCATAATAAATTTCCTCGAACATGCATTTTTTAATTTTTTCAAATCGACTTGTTTGTAGTACCAAAAATTAGCTTTACATTAAAATATCAAAAGTTGCATTTATCTCAAAACTCATGGAGTTGATTCGATTTTAGAAATTGCATTTGAAGACATTGGATAGGGGCAGAGTGCGATTACACACGAACGCGTCATCCATGGGAACCTTAATACTCCTGTTTCTTACTACATACATATACGACCCTCAACAGCACAAGTATCCTACTACATAGCAATGAGAGTTATAAAAGTGATACGTAACTTTTAACACAATGCAATGCAATTCACTTTAGTGTTGTCCATCATACGAGTCAAATCCCCTTCATACTTCGTATAAATTGTTGGAGTAAATAATAGGGAAAAATTGATTTAGATTCATCTTTAAACATGCAAATTTTAACAAACATCCAACCAGCTTTGAACGTCGATTCGGTACTGAATTATTTTTTTTTCGATTTCAATCTCAGATTAAAACTTTGAAATTTTAAATTTCCGGCTGACTATTGAAGGGTAAGTATTTTCTTCCTTCAGAGAAATAATGCTGGCACGGTCGCTAACAATGCAGCAACCAGCAGGGTGACCACGAACAGTGTGACGATATCCCAAATAGTCGGAATTTTGATCCGCGATGAAACCATTGTCGAAGAATTTGCAACGTTTCACGAAAGATTTCCCGGACTCTAGTTGGCCGATGTGATATCATTGTTGAACATGTCTGTCATGGGTGTGGCCCATCCGAGAGAAGTTATCCGACGGGTATGGGGTGCACAAATTAATCTTCAAAATCCTACTCGTTTTCAGGGATGGGTAATCCCAGGATTAGTTTAATAAGATTAAGTAATCGGATTAGATGTAATGTAATCCGTAATCCAGTAATCCCACAAGAAACTTATAATTACGGACGGATTACGTGATTGGATTGGTTTGTTATTTGTTAACTATTTTTGCGTAAAACTAAGAAATAATATGCTCAAGGTAAGTATGTGTATTTGATAAGTTTGGATATTCGTTTGTCAATATCTTTAGTCATACTTCGGGCCGATTATGTGTCCGGAATTGCTAAAATAAAAGATGCAATCCACTTCAGATAAGTAATCTCAATCCTATAATCCCAATAAATTTTTTATTACGTTAATCCGTAATCCGTAATCCATCATATTTGAGAAACCAGGTGATGTCAACATGGAAAAGTATGAATGACAAGGACGCTAATGTTGCCGCGCTGGTGACCATTTTGGAGGGTATAGATTCTGAAGGAATTTGTTTTCGGAATGCTGCCGGTAATTTATAGTTTCATTTTTGATTATTTGGTACCCTTAATTTTGGTTGGATTTAGATTTTTGTTGCCAAATGTACATAAGGGTACATTGCATGCGGGTTTTGAATTTATATATCTGCATCAATTTTCCCCTTTTCCATCTATTCAAATGGTTATTTTGAAACCTGTTCATCTCCCTGCGTTTTTGTTAAATGAAAATTTTATTTCAAGACTAAATAAAAATAAGCAAAATTTTAGTAAAAAAGAGGATTGCACAATAAAAAACATGTCCAAGGTTGTGCGAAATTTATCCACCCGTTGGACAAATTTTTCACAACTTTGCCTAATTTTTGGAATTCAAAATATTATTATTCAAATTATTCAAAATGGGAAGCTATTTCAAATATAATAGGAAAAAGATGAAAAAAAACAAATACCAACCACCTATATTTATATTCTTCCCAATTAATAATTAAGGTTCGGAATAATCATGTTTGGCTTTAAACTGCAACTAAATTTACTTTAAACTTTACAAATTTAATCAAATCACGTCATCGATAGGAAACGAGATAAAATTTATGATTTGTTAAAAAAAGTATTATTGACTATTTTTTTCCGCCTGGGACCCCCTTTTGGACTTTATTTTTTAAATTGAATGAAACCTCGAAAATCGTGTTCAGCATAATTGAATTAGTGGGATTAGACCAATTTTGGGTCTCAAAAATTTTTTATTTGGCGCAAATGGACGATAGTTAATCCGTAAAGTGGGTTGACATCTCCCGGTTTTCTGAGATAACCACTGGACCGATTTGGTCCAACTGGGGCTTAAAATGATCACAAATACTTCCTCTTGAGTGGTCCGGGAGATGGTACTGATCCGTGACCTCGATGACCTAATTTTGACCTTTTTTTGTATTTGTTGCAAATCTTCTCAAAATCGTATATAACTATGAGCTCCAGGTTAAAACAAATTGTTTTATTCAAAATGCATACATATATCACCTGCTTAGTGCGAGCAGCAGCGTGTGTTGCATCCTTATGTGAATTTTTTATGAATTACACATTTGGTACCCAGCATCACAAATATATAGTGAAGGGACTTAACTATGATTGTGAACCAAGTTTAAAATATTTTTTGAAACACTTATAAAATGCCACCCGCCAAAGCTAAGTGCGACGACACTTTTGGTCTTCACAAAAAGTGTTGTAAAAACAGTGAAGAAAATTTCTTCTCAACTTCTCAGTGAAATTCGACAGAACTTTGTTTCATATTGGGCTTAAACACTCTTCTTCTTCTGGAATCTGGTCCTGCTGCTCGGCAGCGTGCCACAAATCCCCCGTGATGTCCAAATTTCAAAATTTAAACTTTCAAATTCAACCTTTCAAAATTCAAATTTCAGCAAAACATATTTTGTCTATATACTAAAGCTAACTTAATCAAGAATTATTGAATGTTAAAAAGGTGTTAAGCTACGAAGTAATATTTCTTAGCAATAGCTGAATTCATCTAACAAGGGACACTCACGACCTGTCGTTTGAGTCCAGGGTACCCACTATGTTTTTCAGAATCTACTAGGACCCCAGATGAAGGATTCATTCATATTTCCGTGTAAAACTCATATTTGGCGCCATGAATGAGTGAATAAGGAATGAATATTTTTTTTCAAGGCTTTGAATAAATGAACTTTGAATGAATAAATATTTTTTGATTTGTGTTTGGCACAGATATCTGCATCCAGAGAGAGTAAATTTGAAAAGTCAACAAATTGAAAACTTTAGGACGTATTTTCTCCTCTTTTAATGCAAATAACTTGCCCATTGGGAGATCGTGTATTTTGAAAATTTCATACTAATTAAATTTGTGACTGATTGACACTATAGTTAGTTTATCCGAGCATTGGAACACTGGGACTGACTGGGAGACCTCAATTTTGAAAATGTGGTTAGTTTTTATCAGCAAATTATGTCTGAAGACTATTTCCTACTAACTAAATAGATTCTGAAAATTGATATAGTGAATTGACAATTTTATCCTATAGAGTAAGACCAAAAAACAATAAAATGAATTCTAATAAAAATTATGCTTTTAGCACAAAAAAAGCGAAAAGGAGTCATCTATTTATTTTTGCAGCTTACAAACCTCTCTCAAATTAAAAAACGGCGTCCATCCTTAACAATTTTCAAAAATTAATCTTTTAAATTTGTACCTCCTCCAGAATCCAGATTTTTGAATTAATATTTCATATGATTTTTCATGATCAACTACATACACACTGAGCTCTTTAAATTAA